CATTAAAATCAAAATCTAATGCAATTTATGGAGTTTTACCATACATTGCTCCTGAAGTTTTGAACAAACAACTATATTCTAAGAAATCCGATATTTATTCATTTGGAATAATAATGTGGGAAATTTTATATGGCAAACCTGTTCCTTTTGAGCAGAAATCGGAATTACAATTTCAATTACAAGTATGCAATGGTTTCCGACCACATATTTACGAAAATATAGCAATGTGCTATGTAGATATAATGAAAAAATGTTGGAACATGGAGCCAGAAAGACGACCAACATCAAAAGAAATTTATGACATTTTTGCAGAATGGCAGAACAACGAAAGTATTTTATCAGAATTATCTGATTCTGATAAAATACTACAAAAGATAAAAACTGATGATACTGAATTATATATTGATTCATGTTATAAAAGTAGATTTATTTCATTTAGTAGTAGTAATATATATCAAGGTAATTTAATTTTTGATTATTTGTTAACTATAATATGATATTATATGTTATAATATATTTGCTTAATAACCTTTTTTTAGAGGTAGTAAATTATTTGAAATGAAAATACCAGATATTATTGATTAATTAAAGCAACTCTTCCGATTTTTGAACCGAAAATATAGAGGAAGTTATTAATATGATTAATAAGAATCTAAAGAATTGTTCACTTAATAACCTTTTTTTAGAGGTAGTAAATTATTTGAAATGAAAATACCAGATATTATTGATTAATTAAAGCAACTCTTCCGATTTTTGAACCGAAAATATAGAGGAAGTTATTAATATGATTAATAAGAATCTAAAGAATTGTTCACTCTGTTTATATAATATTCGCTCATATTAGATTAAAGTCTGAATTTTTCCAATATCGATATCAATTCTTTATATCCTGTATTAAAATATTAAACAACTTGATAAATTTTGAATATGCAATTTTCAAATAGACTTAATTTTGTGACATTTTGTCGATCATACTAATTAATAATAATTTAGAATATAATATCATAAATTTTAGGGGAAATTACAAATAAGGGCCCAAAATGAAAATAATTACAAATAGAGGCCCGATTTTCCAAAAAAATTTTGCGCCATGATCATGCCCGTCGATCAATGACTCGAAATATAGTCATTAACGTTAAACACATCCCAAATCTGTGACAGGTTATGTCGATCACCGAATCGAAAGAGCATTAATATTAAGTGCAGATTTAATTTACTTTATATTCGATATTTAGGTATACTCATATACCTAAAATTTCGTGCTGAAAACATTGTAAATAACTCAAGATTTTACTATGATAACCGTAGTTTGACTTCTAATCAAATGTTTTTTTAGCACGAAATTTTAGGTATATGAGTATACCTAAATATCGAATATAAAGTAAATTAAATCTGCACTTAATGCTATCTCTTTTCAGCTTCTAAGTAAAGTTGTAGAGGAGTGTCGTGCGTTTATAAGTTTAGAAATAACAAACCAAACAAGCTACTTGATGTTTGTCCTACGAATGAAAATAGTTCATGCCCTTTTACTGATTCAGTAACAAGCGCAAAGATGATTTCTCATGATCCAACTTGTCAAACTTTTATAGAATCATTAACCAGTTGATGCATAATCTTGTGTTCTTGATAATGAAACTTTGCCACCAACTACAATTAAATAAGCAGGATGGCTACGAAAAACTCAGTTGTGTAGTCGTGGAGAAACGGCACCAGAAAATCAGGTTACTTGTGGAAAATGTAATTAAAAGGTCATAATTCGCTCGAAGACTTAGAAATAGAAAATAGTATGTGTATTATTTAATATTAAATAGTTTCTATAACATGTAATTGGCTTGCGTAGTAACATTTAAAATTGTGCTGATAATGCAATTTATTTATTTTTTAATGAATTCGATATAACGAAATTCTGAAACATCTAATTAATCATGACGCTATTATGTTTAAACTGACTTTTTTAGCTAATAATATATTTGGGCCCTTATTTGTAATAATTTCCAAAAATCGGGCCTCTATTTGTAATTATTTTCATTTTGGGCTTTTATTTGTAATTATTTTTAGTTTTGGGCCCTTATTTGTAATTTCCCCTAATTTTTAATCACCCTTTAATTTTTATAGAGTTTTTATACCACTGTACTATATAAATAAATAAGGATAGCTGCGCGACATGCGATGCTGCGCAGGACCAGTCCGATCACGTATGACACATAAAATTTAAATATACACGAGACTCACGGACGAAAAAAAAAATCTTAAAATTCATTGATATAACTAAATTTTAAAAAAAACAATTGTGTTGCATTAGATGCATCAGAATTATCGTGATTTTTACCATATAAATTCTGGTACAAACTTATATGCTATTCCAAAAACTACAACATATGGCCAAAATTGTTTAACTTACATCTTGATTACTATGATTTCTATGAAATTGGGATTTAGCTATAAAATATATATAATAATATTAGAGATGGGTTTCATGCGGGCATATGATTTCTCAATTATGCGCATGATTCGGAATCACGCGCATTTTATCCCATCTAAATTTTATATAGAAAATTAAAGTATATTTAATTTAGGCCAAGGTGTATAATGGCAGGCAAAATTAAGAAATAGGAATACAGAATGTTTGAAAATGAATAAACATAATGATAAGAAGGGTCGGGGAAAATTTTTGCCAAATATCTGATATTTTCTGGAGGGAAAATATAAAATCAAAAATATTATATCATGCAATATCATGCGCATTTTATATAATGTGCGCATGTTATTATAAAATGCGAATTTTTCCCATCTCTAAATAATAAATGGGGCCCCCACAGCAAAAGGGTGCAATGAGACAATCAGATGATTGTGAGAAAATCACAATTTAAAATTATCACATGATTTACAAAAAATTTTTAATTTAATGACAATCTAAAGATTTTTTTGTCAGTAAAGATAATTTTTAAAGATCTATCAACATTATCTATGGTTTTTTTTTTTATTTATAATATGCAAAAACCTAAACTTACATTTTTTTTTAAAAAAAATTGGTCTTAACATTTAGCATTACTTTTTGCGCTCCGTATAGTTATAATCTTTACATGTCTCTCTTTTATTCTTGAGAGTTCATCTTACTATACTCCGTATTTACTTATCATTATTTATTTGACTTAATGTAAATCTTTTTTTTTGTTTTCTACAAAAAGATCTTGCACTCATATTTATTTTACTTATACCTGGTGCCAGTTTTTTTAAGTGTTGGGCACAGCATTGTCGCTATTAAAAAATAATGTTCATACTTATGCTTAGAATTTAGAACTATATTTAATGGTGTTATAACCAGTATGTGCAGGATTTACAGGTAAACTTAATACGTATGAACTAAATTTGGTTTATACTAAGCTTTGTATAATAATGATAAAGTATTTTTTTTTACTATGTATAGCATAGACCAATTTATCTATGTATCGTATGTAACTACATAGCAAACCTTTTTTTTTAATGAATATTATTTAGTTTCTGGTTTAGGGCAGGTAATATCTCAAAAGGGTAAATCCACAAAAGGTGCGATTTCTTTGTAGAGTTCTTCTTGTCTTTTCAAAAAAAGTGGCTTAATATCAATTGTGGAGGGTAAAGTATTGACGTTAAAAAAGGAAGAGTGAATTGTGAAACTTTGGTAATCATTATCAATATTGTCTTTATAAAAGACAATTCCAGGATTTTGTGAAGTGAAATAAAAGTGTTGATATTTTTGAATATTAGATAGTTTACTGAATGTTTAAATATAATTTTTAAAGTTGTAATATTGAAACCCTTCTCTATTCAAATAACATTGAGCAACATTAAAGTTAATTGTAGTAGAGTGATTAATAATTGAAACCACATTGTCTACAGTATTTATTGTGCTTTTTCGATAGAGAATTTTAATTAGACTGAAGCACCTATCACAAATAAATTTTGTGTATCCAAGTATTATAAATTTATCTCGATTTTATCAAACATACTACAATCAATTAACTATAAAAAAAAAATAATGAATAGTTATTCTTGTTTTGACCTACACAGTTATCACATGTAACTATTAATTTGCTTTCTCCATGATTATATTTTTGAATTGCATGCTTAGAGTACAATTTACACCTTTTTCTTGCTTACCGTTATTAGGCATTTCGGCCTCATCAATTACGTAATTAGTTTGCTGCATATGTAGAAAATTACCAGTGTTACAAACACCAAATAAATGCACTTTTCAAGAACTTTTAAAATATAGTGAGCCAATTTGTTGAGGTGAATATATTATTTGCACATTTTGTACCCAATCATATGCAATGCGTATAATACCTTTAAAGGTTTTAAAAGATACTTGAGAACCAACTATATTTTGATTATGTTTTCCATCCTCAATTGCAATTATAATATTGTTATTGTAGTAGTAATGTTCTTTTTGAGCACGATTCAAGTGAACCAAGTAACTATTAGTAAGTTCTAGTTTTTTTTCATGTTGAGTAGCGTATTGAATTTCTATTTTTATCATTTCACAAGTTTCACATAAATCAGATTTTGAAGACATAAATTGAAGCGATGGAATTAGAATTTTCTAAATATTAGTATAGGTAGATTCAATATAATATGTGCATCTTTTTCATACTTATTATTGTAAGCTTGTATATAATCACAGTATACTGAGATGTAACTAAAACTAGTTAGAAGAAATACAATTGGCATAGAAATTTTGTTGAAATGGTGCCCTGGTGAAGGCATGCCATGTATATTGGAATAGTTTTTTAAAAACTTGAATACATCACATTATATATCATAATTTACTTCAATACGTTTCATATTTTTTGGAGCTCTACCAGTATTGCCATGTACACATTCTTCAAGACTATATTCTTGTAGGTGCCATTTTATATTTTCTAAATATTTACAAGAGTTAAATATATGTTACGGCAGACTGAGATATCTCTATTATAACAGTAACCAAAAAACAAGTTTTTTCTATTCGTATTTGTAACTTTTCTCGTATCATCACTTTTTTGAAAGGCCAATAATTGCCCCTTAATAACCATATCATGCATATTTTTATCCAAGCTTTCAAATGCAACTTGATGTGCAAGAAACATTTTATAACCAATTTGCTTAAAGCATGATTGCTTAGAGCGATATGAACATGTGCCTTTTTTAAAAAAATTTTGAACTTCTAATTTTAAATCATCATAAATTTTATCCTCTATGTAATTATCAGGTACATCTGCAAAAATAAATTCATTTAATTTACTTCGAGAAATATCATCATTACTATCAGTTATTGGTTCAATATCTGCTAGAGAATTAGATTCTTCATCATCTTCAGATATAAACATTCAACAAAAAAAGTATTATCCAAATCTTTTAAAGCAGTAACAATGATCTCGTTTATGTTATCATCGTTAGACTGTATATTGTGTTCTATATTTTTGTTAAAAACAAGATTTTAAAAATTTTTATAACTTTAGCATTTACGTTTATTGTTTCTATCTGCTATATAATTATATGAGTGTATGCATATGTCGTACTGTCCTATACTAACCAAATTATTTACAGCTGCGAGTATTTCAAAAATATGTACAATAAAAAAATTAGATTATATTGTAGATTAAATACAATTATTGTTATCATTATACATTAATAGTAGCGATAATAGTAAATTAATTTCTTCAAATTTTCTATAATGATAACAAAGAAAAACGTTTAATTTATATACTATTTATTAATTAATTTGGTAAAAAAAAATTATTTTCTAAAAAACAAGACTTATGAGCAAATAATTGTTAAAAAATCTCAAAATCTGATTGGTTGGCTCATTGCACCCTTTTGCTGTGGGGCCCCATATATATAATTTTTAAAATTGAATAACTTTGATCTATTGGTCTGATTTGAATGATTTAACTACAGTCTGACCTCTCTATAGTCACACTCCATATAGTCACACCTCTATATAAACACCCAATATTGTATAACAGATTTATATATAGTAAAAAACCTCTTTATAGTTACAAATTGCTTATAATTACTATTATAAAAAATTTTGGATTTTTTTATCAATTTTATTAGTAAAAACTGACTAAATATAGATTACAAAATCTGATTGACCAATATTCATATTCATGCTTATTTAAAATATTCCATCAAAAATTTTTAAAAGATTGGTAGCAAATATCTATTGATGCAGTAGTTCAATTTAAATAAAACAACCACCAAAATGTTTATCTAGATGAGACAATTCTAATGAGTCCAAGATTATTATCCAATCACAGCCACCTATAATCATTAAGGATTTGTATTACTTTATTTAGTTAAAATTAATTAAATTTGAATATCTTAGTTAAAAATCTTTAATAATCTTAGCATTTTGCAATTAGATTTAAATGATTTGGACTCTCTAAAATCATCTTATTGAGTCAAATACTCTGGTAGTCATTTTATCCAAATTGGTTCACTGGATCAAAAGTTACTTACTATCAAACATTTTAAAATTATTAATAATATTTCAAATATGCATAAATATATTACTTATTGGCTTAGGTCATGTAACTATGAAAGGTATTTTATTTATAGTCACATCTCTATATAATCACCAAAATAGGAAGTGACCAACTTGTGATTATAGAGAGGTCTAACTATACCAAAATATTCACCTCAGTGAGGCGAATCTAATAAGTTCAAAATTATTAAAATCTAATTATAGAATCCTAAGATTACTAAAGTTTTTATAATTTTAAAATTTGTCATATGAATAACGCTAACAAAAAATTCTGGGAAGGTTATTTTACCTATAGCGCTCACTTACCCTAACCCTTACCCTAAACCTAGCCCTAATTAAATGAACTTAAAGATTTTTATCAGTTATATATAAAAATTTAATTTTTTGTATCTTTTCCTATTGTTATAATAGGAAAAGCAAAAACTGATTACGTTGATGTTAGGTTTAACCTATCAATAACTATAATATATATCAAATGATAAGAGTGATGATTAAAAGTCAAATTAAACTATGCAAAACAATATTTAAGTAAAATTAATAACATGATGTAATTGTATAGCATATAAATATAAATAAGAAATGTAAAATAGAAGAAGTTAGTTTAGTTTAAAATCTTATGTATGAAAAGTAGAACCTGAATAAAGAGAATAATACTTAATTTGATAGTTATCATATTTGCTGTTATAAAATAAAGATAATATACAAGTAAGTGTTTGATAGTTCTATATTTAGTTAGATTTTGTTGCTAAAGCTAGTAGTATTACTTAACTCTATAATAAAATTATAGTGTTCAAAGATAAGCTGGCTTATCACGGCTTGCTGCGGCTTACTGCGGCTTATCATGTGATAACTTTGAATTTATCACCAAACCATGTGATAATCTTGAAATTATCGCGCGATATAGTCGAGATTATCACATGGCTTGGTGATAAATTCGAAGTTATCACATGATAAGCCGCAATAAGCCGCAGCAAGCCGTGATAAGCCAGCTTATCTTTGAACACTACAAAATTATAAAAAACTTTAGTAATCTTAAGATCCTGTGATTGGATTTTAATAATTTTGAACTTATTAGATTTACTTTACTAAGATAAATATTTTCATAAAAAATCATCCAAATTGAATTAATTGATCAAAAGTTATTCAATTTTAGAAATTATATATATATTATTATATATTTTTATATATTGTTTGTATTATATATATGAATGTTGTGGGTGTGGCGATATAGCAAAGTGGTAGAGTTGTCGCACCCCAAGTTTGTTGGCTATAGTACTGAGTTCGAATCCCACTGGCAATGCTTCGAATAATTTACTTGTGTCATGGTAACAGTTTTTCTAAATTGGGCTATAATTATATATCTGTAAACCAGGGCATACCAATGCCCCGAGTTGGCACTAGGAGATATAGATGCATTTGTGTTATTGCACAAAGGAATGCAAACGATTATAGGCGGTGCAAACCCATGATAAGGTGTCCTGATCGATTTTATTATGACCTACTTATAGTAGTCTGAGAAAATAGAAACTGGCTTGGCAAATTCCGATTAAAGAAGTAGCAGACTGTTCTAACTAGGTGTTACTTGTACTACAGGACAGATCTGACTGGACCCCAAAAATTGAAAAAATTGTGCAACAAAAATTTTACAGACAAGAGAGATCTACCAACTAGGCCACCAGGTCATCTGGAGAAAAAAGTCACATATTATAAAATTGTGGACCAAGGATTGGGAGACTTTCAGACTTGAGTCTGGGAAACTTGGGTCTGGGCAGACCAATCCTTCTGGGCTATCTGGATTGGGAAAACGACAATACCAAAAGGAGTAAGGTGTGGAAAGTGATGGAATGTAGTACAGGGGTTTGTGAACCTTAAAAGAGTGGAATGGATAATAGTAGGGGTTCAATGATTATGATCTGACCCCAAGTATATAAATTAAGGCATGGCATAAGTTACTGAAGTCTAGGTGAATACATATATGGGAATGTACCACTCTGGCGGGTTTATCTCGAGGATAAATCAGGACATATGGTCCTGTTCTAAGTCTGGCTATTAATCTAGTGGTGTTGCATAGATCCATAATGTCCTGGTATATGTATGGTAAGGTTACACCCGAGTCTTAAGTCCTACACAGTGAAAGTAAGGATATGATTAGAGGGTTTAAATGGGTATCCTCCTAGTTGGGGTGCAGATACAGCAGATAGTGTAGAACCTTTTGGGTGGACTACTTAAATTAGGCACTCAAAAAGTGCACATATTGCTATATGTACTCTCATTGTATATTGAAATAAAACTTAATGATAATAAATCACCATTGACAAAGAGGTCACCTTTAATACTGAATATATATATATATATATGAAAGTTGCCGGTTAGTCTGAGTTCTTATTCTTAGCATTAGGTTTATATAACAAGATTTCACTATTAATATTAAATATATATATATATAAATATTGCCAAAAAAAACTCAGCAATTTAAATATAAACTATATTTAAATTGTTAGGTTTTCTTTTAGCAACACTTATATATTCTAGCCAATCAGCATTGAGATCACAATATGGATAGATAGAGTAGACTATTAGTATAATTTTATTATATAATAAATAGCACACCCATAAAATTATTTAAAGAAATATAGTAAATAAAGTGATAACTAAATCAATTTATATTTAGGTCAAAATTTATTACTATATTTTATTTAGTAAATCTACTAGATCAAAATATAAAAGAGTTAGTAAAGAAGATATAAAAATAATAACTAAAAATATTTATTTATTATTATTGAGATTGTCTTTTTGAAAATAAAGTATTAAATGCCAAGAATATGGGTTTTTAATCAGTACTTTTTTATAGTATTGCATCTTATACTTAGAGAACTAATATATATAAATATTTGTTACATTAGAAATATTATCAAAAAAAGCTAAAAAAAGACTATAAAATTACAACTCAAGTTTGTATATTAATAACAAAAGAACTAAATAAGTATTAAATTAGCTAATATATATAAATTACAACTCAAGTTTGAATATTAATAACAAAAGAACTA